TGTGGCGTTAGAGTGGCTAAATTGTCAACCGTTTAAAAGTCCATTACTGGGAACAAAATGGTACAAAAATATAAAATTTGAATTTTATTTTTTTATGCATATGTTTATAATTCCCACGACTGTATCTATTTTTTATTATTTTTTGGTTTTTAGTACATTTATCTTAAACATTACAATGTATGTGTAACATAAAACCTTTTAACTTAAAAAGTTTTTTAACTATTTATTTTTTTTTTTTTTTAACCAACAAATGTTCGTATATAAACTTTTGAATGCATATAAAATCAAAAGTAGTAGCGACGCGCACCGGGTTCAGCTAGTATTTTTTATATATGCCAAAAATTTCAGTTTTGATTAGAAAATACTTCTTAAAGCACTCAACATCTTAATGCTAAGTTCACATGGCACGTAATTCTCTCTCTATTCGTTGTTCGACCATTAATTATGAAATATCTACTTATATTACTCACAAAATTTTCTGAGCGAACAAAGATTTTTGTTCTTTGTTCCATTTAAATCACTCTCAGAACTAGTATGAAATGTCTGCCATCCTTAACAAATGAGAGCATTTATCGGCAAAAAGTAAATTATGGCATGTCGAAATTCCAAATAGAAAAATATTTATGAAATTTTAAAAATTTTCAGGAAGAATGAAAATTATGAACGAAAGATAGAATGTTAAATGGCGTATGTGCATTCAAACGAAAGTAAACTCGTCCGAGGTACGCTTTTTGTCCACGAGTTGGAATTTCGACAGACAACTGGAAACAAAAGAGGCAATATTTTCAAAATGTTTGTACTGACAAACATTTTTTTGACAAGTGACTCTCCAATCTATGATCTGTTCCAGTACCTGCAAGAATCTACTACTTTCGCGCTTTTCTTCGATATCATAAAGAGAAAATCTGTTATCGTAGTAAAAACTTTTACATTCTTGGCACGTGATTCGCTCTCTATTCGTTGTTCGACCATTAATTATGAAACATCTACTTGATTCCCCACACAAAATGTTCTGTGCGAACAAAAATTTTTGTTCTTTCTTCCAATCAAATCACTCTCAGAACTACGATGAAATTTTTTTCAGGAAGACTGAAAATTATAAATGAAAGGTATACTGTTGAATGACGTATGTAAATTTTGTTTTCTCTCATACGAGGTACGCTTTTTGTCCACGAGTTGGAATTTCGACAGAAAACTGTAAACAAAAGAGGCAATATTTTCAAAATTTTTGTATCGACAAAAACATTTTTGACAAAAGACTCTTCAACTGAATTTTAAAACAGAAAAATACAAAAGTATATGTAAAATGTCCACATTTTTACAAAAATTTCAAAACATGAATGAATATTGCTAGTTTAAAGATAAAATAAATTTTTGGAGAAAAAACAAGAATTTCTTCTATTATAATTGATGATAATTTCATGTACTTTCGTACAAATTCCTATAAGAATCGACAAATAAAAAATTTGAAAAAAGGAATTATGTTACTATGAATTACGAATCTGATTCTGATTGAAAGTGCAATGAGAACATAGCATAACGTACTTTTAAGTTTCGCCTATGCCTAATGGGAAACCAATGGTTAACTATTATTTCCGGCATAGATTTCACAACACTGAAAACTCCAAATTACAATCAATTCGATAGAAATTGTAAAAAAACAGGCAGAAGTACAAATGAGACGAGACGTATATATTCCAATCATCATAGGAATGTTGTATAAAGGTTTTAGAATACATGAGTAGGTTGATAAAACTAAATACCTTACAACATGGTCTTCTAAAAGTTACGAATTCAAAATTACTTTTGTTTTGGAAAATGTTGCCAAGACCTTTAAATAATACTAATAATTGAGATTTGAAAATGTTTTTAAATACTATGATAAAACCAATATAAAGATGTACTAGTGGATAGGAAATAAATCGTAAAGTGGACTTTTTTTGTGACAAACTATTTATAGCCTCGAAAGGTTATATGAATGAAACCAATATAAAAAGACAAAATTTAACTATGTGCGTGAAAATAAATTTAAATTTTGTTGTTGCAAAATGGTCAGGCTTTATCCCTTCATTGTTGTTTTTATAAAAACAACGTTTGTTTATTAGTGAAGAACGATGGTAATGTTTACCAGGGGGTAAGGCAGGGAATACCTAGGTTTCGGAAAGAGCCAACAATCCTCATCAGTTCCCTTGTTTTTTGTCTGGGATATTCTCCCCAGAAGTTATTTTAAAAATAACTTCTATGACAAAAAACATTTTTTACCCAAATGACGAGATCGTAAGCTCAATAGAAGAGGAACCAAAGAATTAAATAAAACTAAAATTCTTTTGGAAAGTCTTCTAAATCTTACAACCGCACTTATAAACATTTACATCTTTCTCCACTTGTTATGCTTTCGTTCAACCTGAACGAAGTAGCATAACCATGTAAGTTGGTTTTGTCTGTTACAACAAAAACCCCTTCGTCGACCGTGCCTTGTCTATTAATAAAACAGTGTGGCTTGTTTGTTCGGGATACCGTAGTATTTTGTTGTTGCAAAATGGTCAGGCTTTATCCATTCATTGTTGTTTTTATAAAAACAACGTTTGTTTATTAGTGAAGAACGATGGTAATGTTTACCAGGGGTAAGGTAGGGAATACCTAGGTTTCGGAAAGAGCCACCAATGCTCATCAGTTCCCTTGTTTATTGTCTGGGATATTCTCCCCAGAAGTTATTTTAAAAATAAAAAAAAATTTTTTACCCAAGTGACGAGATCGTAAGCTCAATAGAAGAGGAACCAAAGAATTAAATAAAACTAAAATTCTTTTGGAAAGTCTTCTAAATCTTACAACCGCACTTCAGGTTGAACGAAAGCATAACAAGTGGAGAAAGATGTAAATGTTTACAAGTGCGGTTGTAAGATTTAGAAGACTTTCAGGTTGGACCCACTGTAGGAAAATGGTTAGGGATGCACCTTTATAGTGTTCATTTTCGGAAAGAGCATCGAAAATGCTCCTAGACCACTTACTCTAATAATCCAACCCCATCTGGAAATCCCACAGTGGCCAGACTTATATTTTTATATGGTCACTGTAGGAGAAATTGCTTTGGACCCACTGTGGGAAAATTGTTAGAGATGCACCCTTATGGTGTTCATTTTTGGAAAGAGCATCGAAAATGCTCCTAGACCACCTTTTCTCATAATCCAAACCCATCTGGAATTCCCACAGTGGTCAGACTTATATTTCATATGGTCACTGGAGGAGAAATTGGTTTGGACCCACTGTGGGAAAATGGTTAGGGATGCACCTTTATGGTGTACATTTTCGGAAAGAGTATCGAAAATGCTCCTTAACCAATGATTCTCATAATCCAAACCCATCTGGAATTCCCACAGTGGCCAGACTTATATTTCATTTGGTCACTGTAGGAGAAATTGGTTTGGACCCACTGTGGGAAAATGGTTAGGGATGCACCCTTATGGTGTTCGTATTTAGAAAGAGCATCGAAAATGCTCCTAGACCACTTATTCTCATAATCCAAACCCATCTGGAATTCCCACAGTGGCTAGACTTATATTTCATATGGTCACTGTAGGAGAAATTGGTTTGGACCCACTGTGGGAAAATGGTTAGGGATGCACCCTTATGGTGTTCATATTTAGAAAGAGCATCGAAAATGCTCCTAGACCACTTATTCTCATAATCCAAACCCATCTGGAAATCCCACAGTGGCCAGACTTATATTTCATGTGGTCTTCTTAGGAGAAATTGGTTTGGACCCACTGTGGGAAAATGGTTAGGGATGCACCGCTATGGTGTCCATTTTCGGAAAGAGTATCGAAAATGCTCCTAGACCACTTATTCTCATAATCCAAATCCATCTGGAAATCCTACAGTGGCCAGACTTATATTTCATATGGTCACTGTAGGAGAAATGGGTTTGGACCCACTGTGGCAAAATGGTTAGGGATGAACCTTTATGGTGTTCAAACCAATTTCTCCTACAGTGACCATATGAAATATAAGTCTGGCCACTGTTCTTGTTCTGGCCAAAGTTCTTACAATTATATTTTTTAATAAAATTCATATAACATTTTATTGTTATATTATTTTCATAATTTTAACTTTTATTTTGTTTCATAACAAGCACTTTTGAGTTAAATTTAAATTTACTCTCATTAATATGTAGTTAAATTTAAATTTATCTCTAAGAGAAAACCAGTGTTGGTAAGCGAAAAATCAAAGTAGTAGAATTTAAATTTAAATTTATTTTCACGCACATGATTTAACTGTACTAATATCATCAAATGCCAAATTAGAGCCCATTTGGTCGAAGAATATTAAGAGATGGTATTATATGAGACATATATCTATATGAGGACATATATATACTTTTGTAACATCAATCATCAACGTTTTTCACTCTTCTACATTCTTTATGGGGTCACTAACCGATGACACCTTATTTTTGATACTTAAATTAAACTACATTGACATTTTTTGCAATTAATTAGTCTGTTCTAGAACTGCAAGAATTTTAAAGTTGTTACAATGTTAACCTATTTTTATTTTATGATATCGAAGAAAATTGCAGAACTAGTAGATTCTTGCAGGTTCTGGAACAGAGCTAATGTTTACTTCAGTTTAGAAATTACTATCGAAAGACCAATATATGCTGTATTATAATGTAATGGAACACCACTGAAAACAAAGCCAGGCAGACATAGTTTTTTTTTTTTTTTTAAATTGGATCTAACAATTGGCAGATCATATATAACTTCCCAAACTACGCCCCAAGATCAAATTTTGAACGAATATATCACAGCTTGGAGTCATATGCAGGCCAATTCTTCATGGAGTTTAAATACTAGCTATATGCATAAGTTTTCCAAATTTTTTAATATGCAAACAATCGTAGGTCAGAGCATCAGCATTATCTTTTATGAACGAGTGTAGAAACTACATACTATGTAATTTTACCAACTAAAACCAAGATTCGACGCAAATAATTTACTTACCTGTTTTATCATTTATATCGTTTCCCCCATTGGTTTTGTTCTTTTTAGTCAAATGATTTTGTCGAGAGTTTAAATCTTTATTTTTTTCCATAATCTGAAATGTAAAAAAAAAATTATTAGTTACTTAAAATGTGCACAACACAGATTCATACATAGCGCGGTTCACATGGACAACGGTAAAATTTTCGAAAATTCGTGAACTTTCCAACGATCACCCACTTAAGTCGGCAGAATTGTCCTGGCCAGCACAGTGGTGTTCGAATTTATCTTGACTCATAGGATTCAGTAAAAAGTCACAGAATTCGGTGATTCCGAAAGAAAGTACTCTTCATGGTACTCCTCTATTATACTTTTTCATTTGATGCCTTTTCACTGTCAAATTTATATTTTGTAACTCTTTCTTAAATACAGGGTGAGGTGAAAAAACTGCAAACAACTTTAGACTGCTGTCATTTCTAAGCCACTCGTCCGACAGCTGTTAAAATTATTCCAGTGACAGCTCATTATATTCATATAGAAAAAAAGTTATTCGAGATGGAATTCAAGCGTGATTGTGTGGTTTCTTTATATTTGGCTGGAAAACCACAAGGTGCTATCGTTAGAGCACTCCAGTATTTAAATGTGAATAAATCTTTTGTGTCTCGTATGCGGTGATACTGACGTCGAGATACGTCAAGGAAGTGGACGGAAGAAAACACCAACATAAGCAGAAATGGTTCGAAAAGTAAAGAAGCGACTTGATCGAAACCCACGTCGCAGTTGCCGAAAAATTAGCTCGTGAGCTGAATATATCGCAATATTCCATACGGCAAATATTGAAAAATGAGCTCGGGGTAAAGCCATTGAAATTCCAAAAAGTGCACGAACTTACACCGCAACAGAAAGAAAATAGACTCAAAAGAGCTAAAGAGTTGCTTCGCTTGGCCGAAAGTGGTGAACTGCCGAATTTGGTTTTCTCCGATGAGACAACATTCGTTGTCCAGCAGTTTGTAAACAAACAAAATTATCGTGTTTACTTGCCAAAGAGGTCAGCTGAAAATGTGCACCTTCGGTTGGCCACCAGAACTCAAGCGCCATCCATGGAGATGGTGTGGGCCGCCATAACAGCCGATGGTCGCTCTCCGCTTGTATTAATCGACTGTGGCATCAGAATAAATGCCGAATATTATCGCGAAAATTTTCTGGAGGGTATATTAAAGCCTTAGACACGTAAACATTTTGGCCACAGACCTTGGACATTCCAACAGGACTCAGAATGGTTACAAAATGAGGTTTAATGAGGGTCGCTTTATTTCCAGCGCACAATGGCCACAAAAATCTCCGGACACCAATCCGTTGGACTATTGTGTCTGGAGTATTTTCGAAAGCGAGGTTGGCACTGAAAAATACCAAAGTGTCAATTACCTCGAGCAAACGCTTCGCCGGGAATGGGCCAAAATACCGCAGAGCAACATTCGGGCAGCGTGCGACGGTTTCATTGGCCGTTTGAAGACCATAATTCGTGCGAAAGGTAACCAATTCAAACAAATCTAAACTTATTTTAAAATTTGATGCTATTTCCGACATTTGTGCTTTCATGCAATACAATTAAAAAAAATGTAAAAATTATGGCGTTTGTCTTTGTTGTATGAGTACATCTGGAAAGAAAATTACATTTATTTCCGACCAAATATTTGGTTGTTTTCTCGGTTTTTAGAGGGCTTATAAAATTCAAAGAATTGTAAAATCTAAAACAAAACTAAATTATTAGTCTTATAAGACATGTACAATTTGATTATGGAATTGTGGAATTTTGCTGCAGCTGGGGCAAGTACGAATACAATACCACGCCTTGTTTTAATATAATACTGATAGCAATTTTGAATTAAGTTCTTTACAGGAAATTGCCAGTGTATATTTTCGATTTATTACAGAAATATCAGGTATTGAGGAGATTTTTAGCAAAATTTAAAAGCTGGTTATTCTGTGGTTTTGATCCTTAAAGACAGACTCAAAATAAAACATAAATTACCACCGAGAACGCTTCCTTAAGATGAAGGGTTTTAAATATCTTTCTTCATATGTTTAAGCCAAAAAAAAGAAAACAAAACTTCGTCTCTCTGTCCATCTGCCACTCTTCATACGTAAATATTTAAAATATGAAAATAAATTTTATTTCAAAATGACAAGGTTGATTTCGATGTGGCAAGTGAGTCTACCTCTGGTCGAAATATTGGAAAATAAAAATCAAATTTATAAAAATATAAATTAAATTAAAATTGCAAATTTTACAAATTTAATAAAAAAAAATGCTTCAAACATTGTTTAATAGAATGGTGAAAAATTTAAGAATCGGAAATCCCAAAAGTGTCGACAAATGGCTCACTTACCCTATAACGCTTGGAAAAACTATGGATTTTCCCTTTATGTCATCGAAAAATATTGCAAAACTAGTAGATTCTTGCAGGCTCTGGAACAGACCAATAATATACAATTTTTTCACAAGATTTTATTGACAAAATGCAACTTACAAAAAGAAAAATGTCCTCTATCAATTTGTGTTCCGTGACACAAAATATTGTTTATGGTTTGGTTTTTGGCATTAAATACTAACATAACGTAAGTAATTAAGTAGAATTAATATAAGTTCCACCGATGGTTGACCTAATCAGAATTTTATAGTATATCTGTGTCAATAGACAAATGCTGTTTTACTAAAATTATGACATAGTCTTGCGTAGGTAAGGTTAGGTTAAATACTAACATAACGTAAGTAATTAAGTAGAATTAATATAAGTTCCACCGATGAGTTGACCTAATCAGAATTTTATAGTATATCTGTGTCAATAGACAAATGCTGTTTTACTAAAATTATGACATAGTCTTGCGTAGGTAAGGTTAGGTTAAAGGACGCGCAGTTACCATATATCAACCGCTCCACTCGGAGACCTATAGGTCCATTGTGTTCATCCTCAAAAAAAGAAAGAAGGATGAAGGAAGGAGTGGTTCATAGAAGGGGGTGAAGATAGAAGATAGAGTTATAGAGTGTGATCTACGGCTGAGGAATTTGCCGTGTCGTCTTTAGCCACTTGAATCTTCTGACTAATTGAAGAATTACTATAGGGTCTGTGTTAGAAAAAGAAGACAGATTATGTGACACTAGTTCTCCCACCGGCCTGTGTCTCACATTAATGAGTGTTGGGCAGTGGCAGAGCAAGTGTTCGACTGTCTCAATTTCTTCTTCATCTTGACAGATCCTACAGTAGTCAATGTCTTCGCTGTTCCATTTCGAGATCATTGCCCTCACCTTACAGTGACCTGTGATGATATCCACCAAAAGCTTTAGATCAGGTTTCAGCAATAACAGTAGCGACTTTGTTTTCTTCTCTGAGAGTGTGGGCCAGAATCTTTTGGAGATGGTGCAACCCATTTCATCCAGCCATTTTTGTTGGATTCTCTCAGAGTAATGTCTGTGAATGACCTGTAGGAAGTGGCGCAGTGGTGGTTTAACCGAGTTATCTACTTCAATTGTAGTTGATTCGGATCCTAGCCTGGCCAATTCGTCAGCAGTCTCGTTACCTGGGATGTTATAGTGACCAGGAAGCCAACAGAGCTTGATGGACAACCCAGTGTTTTCCAAGGCTTTTCTGCAGTTCAAAACAGCCCTATACTTAATGCTAAAGGAATTTAAGACGTTCAGTGCCGCTTGACTATCGACATATATAGTCACCGGACCGCTGACCTCAGTATTCCTCGTGACCAGCAGGTCTGTGGCCTTTTTGACCGCAAAGATTTCCGCCTGAAATACGAACATTAAGGGTATCACAGAAGACACCAGCTCCCGTTCCAAAGTCCATCTTTGAACCGTCGGTATAAACAGCTATGCCGCGAAAAGGTGGGTTGTTATGGGCCTATTCGTCTCTGTTAGGTATGTGTACTTCAGGTGGGTCCAAGCTCAACCGTGGTGAAATATAGTTACTTGTATTGACTACCACTCCCACATCCCTTACACGTCTTAGAATCGCAGTGCCTAAAGGGTTGACTGCGCCATTTGTTTAGTTCTCTGAGTCGAAGAGCAATCCTAAAAGCTTGTTCCTCTACATGTATACTCAGCGGACTTAAGCACAGTAGGGTGTCCAGTGCTGCTTGAGGTGTGCTCCTGAAGGAACCCGTTATTAGTAGGGATGCGGCTCTTTGAGCTTTGTTAATGTGTCGTAAGTAGGTTGACTTATTCAAGGAATGCCACCATACTAGAGATCTATAGGATAGAATGGGGCGAACAATTGAGTCATACATTCATTCAATGTGCGGTTTGAGGCCCCAGCTTTTAACTATGGAGTTCTTAAAGGAATAGAGTGCGATCAAGCATCTCTTAGCTCGTTCCTCAGTGTTCCTCTTCCAACTTAACTGGCGGTCGAGGATAGTTCAAGGTATTTGGTTTCTGATGAGAGGTTTAAAGTGACTCCATCTAGCCTTGGTGGTATAAATGATGGATATTTACGTTTCTTAGTGAAAAGGACGAGATCTGTCTTTGATGGGTTCACGCCTAGTCCATTGCGACGCGCCCACCGTGATAGGGTGAGTAGAGCTCCCTGCATTAGATCAGAGATTGTTTGCAGGAATTTCCCGGCAATCAATAGGACAACATCATCAGCGTATGCGACTACTTTTGTCCCTTTTTTCTCTAGATCTATAAGTATGTTGTTGATAAGCAAAAGCCAGAGTAATGTTGATAGGACACCCCCTTGCGGCGTACCCCTAGTGACCGATTTCCTGACGGATGTTACCCCAATGCTCGAGTTGATGATTCTGCTACTAAGCATCGTATCAATCCAGTCTATGAGGAGTTGGTGTACCTTAAGTTTTGATAGTGAGTCATGAAGGGATTTTAACGTAACGTTGTTGAAAGCTCCCTCAATATCGAGGAAGGCAGCCAAGGTGAACAAGGAGCCATTCATGTTCTTCTCTAAATACCCTACGACATCATGTTGTGCTGTTTCAACAGATTTACCTTTCATGTAGGCATGCTGAGCAGTGCTGATGGCGGTCTTGGGTAGTCAAGATCTGATCTCTATGTCTATCAGCATCTCCAATGTTCTCAATACGAAGGATGAGAGACTTATCGGTCTGTAGTCCTTAGGAAGTGAGTGAATCGGTTTCATCGCTTTGGGGATATAAGTGACTGTGACTTCTCTCCATGATTCCGGGATGTAGGATAGACACAGACAATCTTTGAAAATCTCCAACAGTATTGGGCACATTGACGCTGAGACACGCTGGATCATAGCGGGAATAATGCCGTCTGGTCCTGGGGATTTAAAAAGCTTGAATGTGTCTATAGCCCACTTAATTTTGGATAAGCTTACAATTCTGTCAGCCAAATTATGGTCCCTAGCCGTAAAGTCGCGATACACTTGATCGGTTTGGCGATTGCTTGCCGTGTCAATACAGCCGGGGAAGTGGGTGTTGGCTAGCGGATTGAGAGTCTCTAGTCCAAAGTCAGTCCATGTGCCGTCAGTCCGTTTTTACTCCCTATGGATTTAGGATCCTTCGAAAGGACTTTACGGGATCTGGAGGCATCGTTGAAGCTTTCTATTGACTCGGTGAAGCATACCCAAGATGTGCGCTTGGCCTTCTTAATCTCACAGTTGTAATTGTTAAAGGATGTCTTATAGGCATCCCAGTCCGGACGTAGTTTGGTCTTGTTGGCCCTATTGTACAATCGTCTACTATCCCTCCTTAGCTTGGCTAAATGTTTTGCCTGGGTAGGTTAGCGGGCAGACTTTTTCATAGCAATCAAGCAAGGCATTCGTTATTCCATTTACGGAGTTGTCAATATCGAGGGTTGAGGTTAAGACCATGGTACAATGAAGAGAAGGTAGGTCAACTTTGAAAAAATTGCAAATATAGAGGTCTACCTGTTTGGCTTGTAATGTCAGAATTAGTATCAAAGCAATAAAAAATTAAACAACTTCTTGCATTTATTTTGAATAAATAATTGAAAACCGCGAAAACTGAATGAAAGGTCAACACTTCTTTTCAAAACCAGTTTCTATATATCTTTAAAGGATTATTTCACTACAAAAACTCTAGATTTTGTCGATGCATACGATGAAATAAACATTTTGAAAACATCCGAATTTGAATGTTTTCTGAACAATTTTTTGTTATTGAAAAAAAAAACACATACATAAACAAATAAAGATGACATATTAAGCCAAGAAAATAAAAAAATTTAAAACATATGGTATCATAGCCCTACCTTGATATCATTGTACCATGGTTAAGGCTATGTTGTCGAAACAGTGAAGCCTAGGTATAGCCAGCTCCGTAAATTTGTCCCATTTTGCCTTCCTTGGGTTTCTATGAGGTTTTTGATGAATTCCCTCTACTAAGATTTTGAAAACTATCTTCCGGTGATCTGAAAACGAGCACTCAGGAGAAAGTTTCCAGTCTTGTATAAGAGATTAATTCTTGTTAGTAAGGGTGAGGTCAATGGCCTCAGCCCTGTCTTTGATTTGAAATGCTGCATAAAATAGTCTTGCGTAAATAGTTATGGACAGGGTTGTCAGATTTTTTTCATCGCCAACGCAAAATCAAGTTTCAGAATTCGCCAAAAATTGCCAAAATGGAAATTCTTCAGTTTATGTCAAAAGTTATTCTGCTTACAGTCATATGGCTGCAGAGGGTTTATATCATTAGATATTCAAAAACGACCCTAGGTCTCTTTGGACCAAATCCGTTTCACATTTAGAGTCGATCCGTCTGTCTTTCTAGCTGTTGCACGATAACTCTCAAAAGGAGAATCCGATTTGATCCATCGTAATATTATTTTCAAACTTAGATCGAGTTCAGAGGTGGGCAACGTCGGTTCATTGCTTCTGGTACCTCCCCCAAAAAAGATCAACATTTTCAAAGAAAATAAATTACCGTATAGAATGAGAAAGGATCATTCAATTTTGTGCAAACGTTGTGAATCCAAATATTTTTGTCAGTGCTAGGTCAGGTACGAATGGACAATAAGAAATTTGCAAAAATTCTGGTGAATAATGTCGCTAAAATTATCAAAATACTAAATATCTTGATATATCTTTATATGGTGGTTATGCGAAAACGTGGACCGACATGGCCCATTTACCTGTCGACTGGAAGAATAAAAACGCGAAATTTTAGCCCTCTACTTCAATTCGTTCGAAAGATACAACAGACGTAGGGACAGACATAGACTACGACTTAGACTACGCAGTTCCAGAGTATATGTACTTGGTAAGGTCAAACATGAGTATTTCGAGGAGTTACGAATGGAATGACATAGTTAATATACACTCTATAGAATGGTGGAGTGTATGAAACGGGATGCGATTATCGATTTGGCAAATGAGATTAACTTGTCCTGAATTATACTAGACGAGGTTATTGTTTTCGTTCACTTTTGAACGAGTCTGTCGCATTTATAGGCAATTATTTCCAGCAAATTTGTTTTCCACCACGTATTTTTCTGTCATTTTTTTAATTATAGGAATTACATGAAAATTGCCAGTACGAGCAATACCTTGTCTCGCCTTCAGACAAAAAATTGCCACCAGAAAACTTGCCTAATATAAATTCGAACGATTTTTTGCCATATTATCACCCCATAATGTACCCAATATCAACATTTTGAGGATTTAAAAACTCCGGCACAAAAATACTATTTTTATTGTATTACTATCGAAACGGTAAAAATAACGCCATCATATGCTTTGATATTTCGATAGGTATTTCCATAATCTTTTAAATATAACCGGATATTGCATGCAAACTTCGGGTCGAATGCCCGAGGGCAGCCCCCTAAACTCAATTTGCTCCAGTCCGTAAAGTTTTTATACCGCTGAAGAGCTTATGAGCCATTCTAACCACAGAGTGCTGTGACCTTTAAACATTCACATTCATAAATATCGATATTGCTGGACTACCTAAATGCTAATAAAATTGATGTATGTACGCAATGTATACAGACATATACATATATGCATACTGAACCCGTGTTGTGATCCTCACCAATCAATACGAATCAATACGAATAGTTCGACATTTGAACACAAAATTCCGCTATGTTATTTCTATACAGCCAATTCTACTAATTGATATACATACAAATACACGTATATATTTACTTCACAAAACAAAATATAAATTGGAGTATTAATAAGTGTACATACATAAGTACATGCAGACGTTATTGTCAAGTGATTTATATTGGGGCTCCCGTATCAATTTAAATCGATCGAAAGTAAAATTTATTTATTAAAAAGAGAGTCTACTTTCAAACATGCAAAATTGTCTATTACCTTAAGAATAATGTCTTATTGTGTTGCAAATCCACTGTAGCACCGAGTTTCAACTGTTACATGACAGAGTTTATTAAAAAGTTATTGTTTTTGTACTGTGTATGAGGATATCCGAAAAATACTATTTTAACAAAAAACAATATAACTCTTAACTGGAACTGTGACTTGTCGTTTTACATCAGCCGTAGCACCATATTGTCATTACACACTTAATCACAAACAGTTGTGTTCGATCATTGTTTGAAAAATTCTTTTAACATATGACTGTCTGATGATGTTAATTTACTGTGAGTGGTACAGCTGATTTTGCATTCATCCACATTGACCAACCACAAAAACATAATACGACCCAAACCACATATGTTACAGACATGGTACAATCAGGGGGTAAAACAATGGTATAATAAAGAGGTAGAACAGCTTCGCAAAACTACTGTGGTCATGCCAGCTCCCAGACAAATTTGCATGCAACAAGTTTTTTTTCATTTATTCGATATTTTCCCTCATTTCTAAAATGAGTTAAACAGCGCTAAAAATGAATTAAATGTCTTGATTTTCTTTCAAAAATATGATCTAAACAGTTTGATCTTTCAAATCCATGGCAAAACTGGCGAATATTTTCAATGCCCAGCCCGCAGTGTACGTTTCTCCCAATCATTAATTTTGAAAATATTTTGGTTTTATTTTTTATACCCTCTTCCATTCATAGTATGGAGGGTATATTCAGTTCGCTATTCCGTTTGTAACTCATCGGAATATTCATTTAAAACATAACAAAGTATATATATTCTTGATCAGCGTAAAATTCTAAGACGATTTAGCCCTGTCCGTCCGTCCGTCTGTTGTAAGCACGCTAGAGTCAAAACGAATAAAGATAGGAAGCTATAATTTTTCACAGAGCAGTTTTTTGTCTGTCTGAAAATAAAAACACAAAGAGTTCCTTTTGAGTACTTTACCCCCTAGAAGAAAATTGTCGTATAGCCACCTTACAACGGTACCCCCGATATTCGGTATTTTGATGATTGTAGCCAAACTTTTCAATAAAGTTGTCTGAAAATCCACATAGGGATTTCCTTTTGAGTACTTCATACCCTGGAAGATTATTGTCTATATAGGTCCACGATATCGTATATCCCCAATATAACGGTACATCCCTATATGGAATATGGAATTGTCTAAAACTTCATACTAGAAGTTCTCTCCTAACACTTTACTCCCTGGAAGAGAAATATCTACATATATAGGTTAAAGATATCATATAGCCCACATACAACGGTACCCCTCCCCATATAAGATATTTGGCGATTTTAGGGACGTTATTCACCGGAGTTGTTTCAAAGTTTGTACCTAGAATTAGTAATGGTTATTATAGCCTATGGCAAAATATTACTTATGCAGGTCCACGTCTTCGTATAGCCTCCATATAATAATATAACCCAATATTCGGTATTTTGATAATTTTAGAGACATCATTCACCATAGTTGTTTCAAATTTCGTATTTAGAGTTCGGAACTACAATCTATGATAGACAATAGTCTATGCAGGTCCAGGCCTTGGTACCAGCCCCATATATCAGTACCTCCCTATATTCGGTATTTTGATGGCCGAACTTACTGTTTTTTACTTGTTAAAACAATAAATACATACACAAAATTGGCAGAAGTCGATCACACTTACAAAAAATATTGTAATCAGCTGGTAGCTTTACCTTACCCTTCTGTTATACCATGGGTAAAACGGTTTTGTAACGACTACAATAGACCACGCATATAAAAAACTCATTAAAAATAGTCGATTCATATACCATCCAACTTGGAATTCTAAGGCTCGTTCTTGGCAAAACAATTATGGTAAACTAATTTGCTAAATTTAATATGTCAACCCTGACGATCTCGACCTTGTCATTTTTTAATAAAATTTATTTTCATATTTAAAATATTTTCGTATGACGAATAGTAGATAAATATTTGAATCCCTTCATCTTAAGGAGACGTTTTCGGCGATGTTAGTTCTAGTGTAGGTCTCGAATGACGTTTTATATTAGGTCCCCCTTTAAAGATCAAACCCCCAGATTTACCAGCTGAAAATGTTGTCAAAATCTTTAAAATAACTGCTATATGAATTCAGTACTAAAACGAAAACTTACGCTGACAATTTCTTGTAAGATGACAATCTTCTACTTGTATTTCGAAAACAAGGCTTGATATTGTCTTCATACTTGTCCTTAGTGAACTCAAATTCAACCATCCCATAATTAAGTTTTAAATGACTTATCAGACTAATATTTTAGTTTCCCGTTTTAAATTATATTCTTCTTTGACTTTTATACCTCTAAAAGGCGTAAAAAATTGGATTTTTTTCGAAAATAAGTGTAGTTCTATCCAGCGGTACGCCCATGGTAGAAGTATACAGGTAGCCGCATTAACACAGCTGCTGGGACAATGAACTCTCAAACTGATTTTGGAATAGAATATGTTGAATGAAAAATCATTGCAATTTGTAAAAATAGTTAAAAAATGCATATTATAACGGCCTCCGATTTGCACCATATAAGAAAACATATAAAAATCTAATTATTTTTGACAGATCAATGTTCTCAAGCGTAGATGCTTCTACCTGAAATCTTCTATCAGGGGTACGTCTATATTAAAGGAAGAACTATAAAATATACAATTGACAATGAAGGGACAAAAATTAAAAAAAAAAAATAATCGTATGATAGCATCAAATTACCTTGGTAATTGTACCATGGGCTCGTTATTACATCTTTTCTTTATAGTCAGGTTTGTTATTCCGTTCTTTAGGAAAAGTAAAGGATAACGTTCACATTTTTACATCTTCCCTTTAAAATAAATTCACCTTTTCAGAGGTATGTCAATAAAATGAGTAATCATTTGTAAATGTAACTGGTAATCACTGCAGTTTTTTTTTTCTCAGTGGCATCTTCATATTAGTTAAAAAAATAACCAAACAAATTTATAATTAATTTCGTGATAAAAGTCTTCAATTCAGTTCTTAAATATAATTCAATAAAAAACGATTTGCGTTATCCATTTCTTTATTTGAATAAATCTTGCTGTTATTGCCACATTATCAATTAAATGGCAACATAGCGACATCAATTCAGCAAACTTTACGTTAAAAGATAAAGGAAGATAGAAGACACATCGATGCAGATGTAGCAATGAACTTTCTAACCAATTTTGGAATTGAAATGTTTTAATGAAAAATTATTCAAAGTTGTTAAAAATTCATATCATAGTAACATCCTATAGACGTCGTATGGGAAAACATATACAAATCTACACATTTTTGAAGAAACATTTGAAGATTTTTGACATATCAATGTTCCCAAGCGTAGATGCACCTACCTCTATTCTTCCACCATGACTTGACCTTTTGCTTATGGGACAGTTCATATTTAAATGAGACTTGTAATAACGAAAAACGATTTATTTGTCCGAAAACATCATTATTTTATCGGAACAACTCTAGTTTGGTAAAACCAATTTCTCCTACAGTGACCATATGAAATATAAGTCGGGCCACTGTGGGATTTCCAGATGGGTTTGGATTATGAAAATAAATGGTCTAGGAACATTTTCGATGCTCTTTCCGAAAAGAGTCACTGTAGGAGAAATTGGTTTGGACCCACTGTGGCAAAATGGTAAGGGATGCACCTTTATGGTGTTCAAACCAAATTCCCCTACAGTAACCATATGAAATATAAGTCTCGCCACTGTGGGATTTCCAGATGGGTTTGGATTATGAAAATAAATGGTCTAGGAGCATTTTCGATGCTCTTTCCGAAAATGGACACCACAGAGGCGCATCCTTGATCACTCCATTAGTTTGTTTCAGTTTGCAGATATTTACGCGCGCAGTGTTTTGAATGCCAAATTTAATATTGGAACAAAGTTTTAGCAATTATGCATTTTTAATTAAATCCATATAACATTTTTATTATTATATAATTTTCATTATTGTAACTTTTATTTTAGCAATTATGCATTTTTAATTAAATCCATATAACATTTTTATTATTATATAATTTTCATTATTGTAACTTTTATTTTTTTTCAAAACAAGCAGTTTTTAGTTAAGTTTAAATTTACTCTCACTAAAATGTAGTTAAATTTAAATTTATCTCTGAGAAAAAACCAAAGTAGTGCAATTTAAATTTATTTTCACGCACATAACTCTGTGCTGGAGTCTTATAATATTATTATATTGTTAAATAGACTTTTAAATATACTTTTTGTTTATTTTTCATTTTTTAACAAAAGTCTTATATTGGGAAAACCAAACCCATCTGGAAATCCCACAGTGGCCAGACTTATATTTCAAATGTTCACTGTAGGAGAAATTGGTTTGGACCCACTGTGGGAAAATGGTTAGGGATGCACCTTTATGGTGTTCATTTTCGGAAAGAGCATCGAAAATGCTCCTAGACTCATAATCCAAATCCATCTGGAAATCCTACAGTGGCCAGACTTAAATTTCATATGGTCACTGTAGGAGAAATGGGTTTGGACCCACTGTGGCAAAATGGTTAGGGATGCACCTTTATGGCGTTCAAACCAATTTCTCCTACAGTGACCATATGAAATATAAGTCTGGCCACTGTGGGATTTCCAGATGGGTTTGGATTATGAAAATAAATGGTCTAGGAGCATTTTCGACGATATTTCTAAAAAGGGACACCACAAAGGCGCGTCCTTGATTACTTTCCATTAGTTTGTTTCAGTTTGCAGGTATTTATGCGCGCAGTGTTTTGAATGCCAAATTTAATATTGGAACAAAGTTTTAGCAATTATGCATTTTTAATTAAATCCATATAACATTTTTATTATTATATAATTTTCATTATTGTAACTTTTATTTTGTTTTCGTAACAAGCAGTTTTTCGTTAAGTTTAAATTTACTTTCACTAAAATGTAGTTAAATTTAAATTTATCTCTGAGAGAAAACCAGTGTTGGTAAACGAAAAACCAAAGTAGTGCAATTTAAATTTAAATTTATTTTCACGCACATAACTCTGTGCTGGAGTCTTATAATATTATTATATTGTTAAATAGACTTTTAAATATACTTTTTGATTATTTTTCATTTTTTAACAAATGTCTTATATTGGGGAAGAAAAGGACAATACATTTTTATCCCAAAATTGTACGATGCTTTGCCCATTAACATCGGAAGTATTCATTTGTTTTGCAACCGAATTTGAAATAATTTTAAATTATTGTATTTTT